AAGACCTAGTGTCTTTTTTCGTGAAAAAAAAAAATAAGACACTGTCTTATTTTCGGGGAAACACGGTATATATATAGCTTGAAAAAATTAAAAAACTGCTTGCAAAAATTAAAAGGAAGACTTTGAAAACACATCAGATCTCAATGGGAAAAAATATCATGCTGGATATCTACTGTATACTGGACTGAGTAATGTGTTTTACAAAAAGGATGCCACATCGTTTGATGGATATGAAAAATGATCAACCTACAGAGGGCTGAATTCAAAGACACCCCAAAAATCAAAGTGAACAAATGATGCAGCAGGCTAGTCAATTGTGCTGAAATTTCATTGCAGGAACTCAAATTGGTACTCAGTTTGTATGGCCACCATGTGCTTGTATGGATGCCTGACAGCATCGGGGTATGCTCCTAATGAGAAGACGGATGGTGTCCTGGTGTATCTCCTCCCAGATCTGGACCAGGGCATCACTGAGCTTGTGAACAGACTGAGGTGCAACCTGGCGGCGTTGAAAGGACCGAGACATAATGTCCCAGAGGTGTTCTATTGGATTCAGGTCAGTCGAGCGTGGGGGCCATTCAACGGTATCAATTCCTTCATCCTCAAGGAACTGGCTGCATACTATCGCCACATGAGGCCGGGCATTGTCGTGCACCAAATGTTTCCTTACAGATCCATTATATTTTATTACATATTTTTCTATTTATTACTTTATATAAATGTAATACACGTTATATCTGTTTACCAAATAATTATCTCCATGTTTTAATTTCAGCATCTGGGTCACGTCCCGCAGGTTGTGGAGGTACGTTTCATTTGAGCAGTTACTTGAAAATGACACTGAAATAATGCGCTCTGTGATAAAGATGAGATCAAGTTCTCCTTCCTCCATGGTGCAATTGAAGTCCACGTTTCTGCAACTGAAAAAAATAAATGAATAAAATCACTTTTTTCCATTACATGAGATTTAGAATCACTCCAATACAAATAAATTTAATGTTTAATCAGATAATTTTTTTAAAATACAATATATTTGAATATGAAATAAAATATTTATGAAAGGGCATAAACATTACAAAGGTTGCAATATGAATGTAATACAAACATTGGTGAGGTTTAGTTTTTCTTGTTCGGTAAGTTTTATTGGGTATAACCCTTTCCCTGCCAACGACGTAAGGCATACAAAACCATGGCCAGGTCAGTATGCCTTACGTCGCTGGCATTCATCCTCCAGCTATAAAGCTCATGGCTTCAGCGACCATAAACTTGTAGCAGAAGGCTTCCCCTGACTTGCCTCGGTAAATTAACAGTTATCAGCAGTCGACAAGCTATTCATTCAAAAGTGTTAGGCAGGGCTTGGCACTGAAAGGGTTAACAGTAGTGATGCACCGAAAAGTGTAATTTACCGTGTTTCCCCGAAAGTAAGACCTACCCCGAAAATAAGACCTAGTGCTATCTTCTGGGATTTCTGTAATATAAGACCTACCCCGAATTTATCTGCCGAAATAGCGGTGCATCCGTGATTTCTCTCCTCCCCGCTGGGCGCTGCTATGTGTCCCAGTGGGGAGGAGAGAAACTGTTACAGAAGGCCGAGCGCTGTGGGAGGAGACTGCTGTGAGTGGCTGGCGTCTCTCCTCCCCGCACCGCTCAGCCTCCTGTCACAGATCAGGAGAGCGGCAGTATGGGCGGAGACAGCCAGCACTGTCACAGGAGGCCGGCTGGTGGTGCAGGGGAGGAGTCAGCTGTCAGATCGAGCTCTCCTCACCGCACCTCTCGCTCAGCCTCCTGTGACAGCGTGTCAGGAAGGAGAGCAAGTACAAACAGCTGAGTGTTTGTAAATAATTGAGGACAAAATATGTTTACTATACAGGGGTGTGGAATTCCTATCGCCCGACGCCCGGGACAGGCAGTTTCGGGCGCCGGGCGAGTAGTTTTTTAATACATTTAGCCCTGCTCCGGACAAGCAGAGCTAAATGTATATTGTGGAGCCGCCGCTCGTTTTTATACAAGTGATCTAATCAGCTCACTTGTATGAAGCGAGAATCTGCGATCCTGTCCGCCCCCTCCCCTCGCGCCATTTTTTTCAGGGGTCCCCGCTTCTCTGGTGGACCAGTCACCACGGCACAGGAGCTCACCATAGAGCCCGCGGAGCAGACGAAGAACTTCCATTCTTCGTCTGCTCTGTGCTATCACTGAGACCCTGGCGCTGTAATCACAGCGCCACCTGTCTCAGCTGTCAGGAACTACACAGAACATCTGTTCTGTGTTGGACGGCAGGTTCCATAAAGAGAACCTGTCACCTCCAAACTATCACATAGAGGATTTTAACACCCTATGTCAGGGGTGCCCACAAGGTCGATCGCAATCTACCAGTCGATCGCAAAGCTATCGCTGGTAGATCGCGAGTCGACTCCTTGTCCCGCGCTCCGTTTACCCGAATATGTCGGACACTAAAGCATCCGACACATTCGGCTCTCCCCTCCTGTCTGTAGCGGCCAATAATACCTGCCGCACGTAGCGTAGGCGCGCCGCCTCTTCCATGAGACACTTGCTCCGCATACTTGACCCGCCCCTCGGCCGTCTTCTTCACTGTCCATTGCATCCAGCACTAGTGACACTAACAGCTCCTCCCTCTCTTCAACACATTTGATCGGCCCCTCCCTGCCTGCAGCTTTAGACACTTCTCCCAGTCTGCACGTTGGGACTACACCTGAAGAGCCAGAAGCAGGTAGGCTTTTTGCTCGAGTGGGAGCTGATAGTATAGTTAAGGAGCTGCACAGTAAAGATTTCTAATGCCTCAGTCACACCATCCTCAGTGCGTTCTGGTCCTATTGTGTCGAACTTATTGGATCGCATTGCGGCTAGCTCAGTTTGCTGACGGGCAGGAGGAGGCGCGGGAACGCAAGGTACATCAATGCCTGTGGTCCGGTCAGAAAAAATAGTGCTTGCAGCATTGATGTACCTTGCGTTCCCGTACGGCCGATCTCATTGCGGCCAGAGGGTGTGGCTGCGGTGCCATTCACTTCAACACACAGCCGTGCCCCCTCGCACCCACAACAAACTGAGCTATCTGCAATGCGATCCAATGCGTTCCGGACACAATAGCGCTGAAACGCACTGAGGCTATTGTGTATGAAGCATTAGAGCCGGTTCACACTACAAACAATGCGTTCCAGAGCGGTCAGGCTCTGGAACGCACTGTATCGCACTCTGGCCGGTTCCCTGCGTTCAGGGGGCGATCGCCCGCACCCGAACGCGTGACACATTAGTGCCTGTGTTCCGGTCAAGTGCAATCTGCAAAAATGCTGCAAGCACTAATTTTGCAGATTGCACTGAACCGAATCGCAGGCACTAATGTGCCACGCGTTCGGGTGAGGGCGATTGCAATACGGGCGAGGGGCATGGCTATGGTGACATTGACTTCAATGCACCGCCACGCCTCCTCCAGCACCTGAACGCAGATAATGCCTGAATCAAAGAATGCAATGTTTTAGGAATGTGTTTAGGGTTTGTTCACACAAGTTACAGTATAGTACAATCCAGCACAGTTAGCTGGAACACACTGTATCGCATGGTAAACCACCCCCCTTGCGTTCTCAGCAGGGAGGGGCCGTGGCGGTGAATTGAAGTCACCAGAACGCGGAAACCACAATGCCTACATTTCGGTCCAGTGCGATCAGAAAAAATAGTGCATGCAGCATTTTTTGCCAATCGCACTGGACCAGAACGCAGGGATTTTTGTGCCGCGTTCTGGTGCACGCGAACGCACTGCGGCTGGG